AATTAACTACACAGGGCTTTAACCCAGTGCACCACTTCCCTATTTTTCCTCATCTTCCTTAAGCTTGTTGAGCTAACAAATATTGACCAAACTGACAAAGACTAACACTAAAGATTTCCTGTATAATTTATTTTATTTTATGTTTTAAGTATACAATATCATTTCAGCTCATTTGTTTATCTCTAAAGTTAAGTCTTCATTTTTATTTCAGTTCAGTATTTCAGTGTTTTGAAACACCTAGTTTTAGTGAACTATAATAACCATGACTCAGACCAAAGAGGACATTGTGTTGATGTCTGAAAGAAATTAATTCCCTGAAAACGTATTTAAGATAAACCATAACCATGACTCACCTAACCCCAAACCTCTCCTTAACTTTCACTTAACCCTAATCTTCACCAGAAACCTTAACCTTTAAATGGTTAACCTTGTGAGGTCTGGCTTTTTGTCAACAAATGGAGGATAAGTTCTCTTTACGTGACTGTGTGAACTGACAGCAGTGCTTCTTATGAACTGGGACTAAATCAGTGGTTACACTTTGTCTGTATCAGATATTTATACACTGTTAAGGCGTTGTGAATTCACGGTCAGCGACTTTAAATCCTAGACAACCAGGACTTTAACATCTTGTGTTCCTTTGGTTAATTTAGTTCAATTCAATTGACTAGAACTTTATTTATCCTGAAGAAAATTCTTGTGCCAGACAGTGCTTCAAATTACAGCAACACTAAGTACAGTAACCACAATTTAACGTTCATAACCACTAACAACCAGTGTGTTCCCCGGGTCAGGGTCAATCATTGGGCCCAGTTATAGAACAATTAAATATCTGGAGTTTGGAAATGGTTTGATAAGTAAAACAAATGGATTGGCATATATATGTTTTATGTGTGGGTTTTAAGGGGTATAAATTTGCACCTTTAAAGGCTTTAAATCAACATACACTTCTAAAATCTTAATATAATATACTTAAGACATTTTTAAAATTAAAAAACATCCTTATGAAGAACAGAAACAATATATCTTTATTAATTTGATCCCATATCTCTCTCACTGTCATAAAATTCCCACCATGTTGAAGAGACACTGTTGGTCACATCCTCATGTGCGTTACATCACTAGAAAGTCCAAGATGTCCTTTGTACAGTTCATCAGGACTCAAATAGACTACATGCATGGTGTTAAAATTAGAGCCCTCAGTGTCATGTCCCCTACAGAGGACTAATTTTTAAACATGCTTGGTCTTTACTTGAATATGTCTATTTTGTGCTACATTTTACCTCTGTTTAATTACAGGTCAGTACTTTTTACTCCATTACAATTATTTGACACTTAAAGTTACTTTTTACAAACTGGTGCATAAAAATTCATCAGGATGCATTAATTAATTGCTGGTAGAGGCCCCTCAGTTCCCCTGTTTCATATGTATCCCCCTCCAATGTTAAGACATAGCATAAACCCTCATTAACTGACCACAGTATTTCCACTTCCACTTAAATAAAGGATCTGAGTACTTTATGAACCACTGAAAGTTGGTCAGAGTTGTTCCTCCTGTGTCTACATGCAAACATTAATGGGTCTAGATCTGAGTTTAGCAGCCTACAGTGTCTTTAATGCAGTCATCACAAATTTTTATGACCCCACAGCTGAGGTCAAAGCTGGTATTTAGTAATTATTACTTTCCCAGCTGTTTAAAAATGTGACATCTTCATTGTCATGTGATTGTCTGTGAGTGCTTGGAGACTCATTTCCCAATTCGATGTGGTGATGGCCAGTCATTGTGAAAGTTCCCACTTCTCATCATGGTAAGTTTTAGCCACTCTGGAAATTTGGCCAGTCAGTGCTCAGATTGTGTTGTTGCGTATAAAAGGTGGCAGCACTTGGATGCTTTATCACTTGAAGACATTGTTGAGCTACAACAATGCTACGCAAGGTATTTCTATTGTCATTCATACTTAGATATTTTCCATGGATTGCATTATTTTTTCAGCATTTCACTGTTTGAGATAATCCTCAGGCAGCTTTTGGAGAGTATTTTGTGTTTAAAGATGAATAGATGCTGCATATTTGAGCCTGATTACATCCTGAACAACTGTGCTGTCTCTGGGGATGTTTGCATCTGACTGACCCTGTTTCACCTTTCCAGGGTATTACAGAGAGCTTTGGAGCTGCCATCCGTGCCCTTAACATCACCCAGCTGACAGATGGTGTGATTAACAGGAGCAAAAGGATGATGCTGGACAACCTGGGCGTTGGGCTGTTAGGAACCAGGACAGCTGTCTTTAACAAGGCTCTCACGTACAGCCAGGTACGGCAAACTGCTCGACTGGAGTGGTGTGTACCTACTAAAATATGGCATATGACAACAGATTTGATTTAAAACACTAAGAGGATGGCTTATATTTTCTTCAAAATATGTCCTAGTAATATGTGTCTGTGTTGATCAGAAACTCAGGCACTGTCTTCTACAGCTGACAAAACCTCTAATTAACTGTTGTGTACTGTGATTAATTTCCCTTTCTATGGGATGTTGACACTATAAGTCTGCTTCCTTAGTCCAATTAGCTGATACAATCCCTTTTATGCTGCTATTTGTCCATCATTTTTGTTTGTTGAGCTCACATCCATATTTAATTGCAAACTTGTCCTTGCCTGATTGCAGTTGTTCACATCTCATGAGCGGAGCAGTGTTTGGGGTAGATCAGAGATAACTCTTCCTCCCCATTATGCAGCATTTGTCAACGGCGTCGCGGTAAGCTCAGTAAATAAGTGCATCATGATATAAAGTAAACATAAGCATGATATGGTGGTGGTTTGACCTGTGGTTATCCGTTCTGTCACATTTTTTAGGTTCACTCCATGGACTTTGACGACACTTGGCACCCTGCTACTCATCCCTCAGGCGCTGTGCTACCGGCCCTGCTGGCTCTGGCAGAGACGCTGCCCAGTCAGCCCTCTGGTCTCGACCTGCTGTTGGCCTTTAACGTTGGCATCGAGGTGCAGGGTAGACTCATGAGGTTCTCCAGAGAGGCCTACAACATCCCAGAAAGGTGAGGTATTTTGTCATATTAACCAACATCGGACTGTTGAGTGTTCAAGGGTTGATTCACCCAGATTGCTAAAAGAACAACACCTACCTCAGGTGGTATTTTTTTCTTGACAAATCAATTAATCATTCAGCTTATAAAATGTCAGAAAGTAGTGGGGAAAAATGTCCATCACAAATTCTGTTAAAGAAATACTTCACCCACAAAATGACCATTTGTATATCAGTTAAACACCCTGTGTTACCTTGACTTTGTTAATTTCTCCCACGATTCTACAGTGACCGAAGAATCCAAAAACTCTTCATGAAACTACTTGATGAATTAAAGTCATCGGGGTTCCTCGTGCAACATCAGCCAAACTATATTAAAACATCCGTTTACAAACTCCCACACAACTCATGCAGTAATCCAAGTTTCATTTATCCAGTCTTATGCTCTGTAGTCTGTACTCCCCAAACACACAGCTTTTTCCGATGAGGAACTAAAACTGACACTTATCTGTGCTCTCTTCAAAGCCAGACTCCATTGAGAAAAAATGTAATTTTCAGAAACTTTGATGTGTGAAACAGTCAGTTTCGATTTAACAAAGTCACACAATAACACAAACTAACTGACTGAGGCAGTGGTAGACCAGCAGCTCCTGTGTTCAGCTAGGTAAAATTACTGTTTTTTTTTAAAAATGAAGTCTGGCTTTGAAGAGAGCAAAGATAAGTTTTACTTTAGGTTAAATGGTACTGTTTTTGCAAAAAATGCATGTGTTTGGGAAGTGCTGATGAGCATACGATGATAAATGAGTTATTGAATTGAATTATACTGCACCAGTTGTGGGACAGTTTACACACCAATGTTTTAGGTGTAGTTCTGCTGTTGTTAACGGCAGACCCCTATGACTTCAGTTCATCAAGACTCATCAACACTCCAATTTGAGAGACTGAAACCAATAAATGTTTAGCATTTATGTTGGAAAAGTTATTCTCACATTTTGATTCTGAAAATAGCTGCCAATTAATTTTCTGTCAATAAGCTAATAAATAAATCAACATCAGTCATCTGGCTCAAATCATTGTCAGTTCAGTCTTTAAACTCAATTAGATCTGAATGTTCTCTTCATCTTTCCTTCTCTTTCCCACACTCAGATTCCACCCTCCCAGTGTTGTTGGCGTGATGGGCAGTGCCGCAGCCTCAGCTAAGCTCCTGGGTCTGTCCCCTGCACAGTGCAGTCATGCTCTGGCTGTCGCAGCCTCCTCCGCTGGGGCTCCCTTAGCCAACGCCGCCACACAAACCAAACCTCTCCATATTGGCAATGCTGCTCAGAGAGGCCTGGAGGCTGCTCGGCTGGCCCAGATGGGACTGGAGGGGAATCCCGCCATCCTGGATCTGAACTCTGGGTTTGGCGTTTACTACAAAGACTACAGTCCTTCACCCATGGAAGTTTCTCCTTCTGCTGACTTTAAATGGATTCTGGAAGACCAGGATGTGGCCATCAAGCGCATCCCTGCTCACCTGGGGATGCACTGGGTTGTGGACGCGGCACTGGCAGCCCGTGAAAAGCTTGAAAACACACTGGGGCACTTTGACCTCAGCCAGATCAGACATGTCACACTTCGAGTGCCTCCATCTAAGTATGTTGACTGCCCCTTACCTGCCACAGAGCACCAAGCGAGGCACTCATTCCAGTTCAACGCCTCTTCCGCCCTGCTGGATAACAAAGTAACAGTTTCTTCTTTCAGTGATGCTCAGATTAACCGGCCTGCTCTGAAGGAGCTGTTGTCCAAAGTGGAGGTGGAGACCCCGAAAGATAATCAGCCCAGCTTTGACAAGATGTACTGTGAGGTGGAGATAGAAACAGAGCAGGGGCAGAGTTTTACAGCCAGGTGTAATACCTTTTATGGCCACTGGAGGAAGCCGCTGAGTCAGGAGGACCTGGTGGAGAAGTTTTGCATGAACGCTTCCTCAGTGTTGTGCTCAGAGGGAGTGGAGGGTGTGATTGATGTGATAGGAAACATTGAGAGAGTGAGAAGGTGTTCAGTCTTGGGTTCATATCTGAGAATGACAAGTGGTCAACAGGAGCAGTTATACAGCACACAGAGAGTGTGATTATACAGTGTGTGATGAGGCCGGTGTAGTGAGTGTGTTATATGTGTGTGATGTCAAATAATACTTTAACTTTTCCACAAGAATCATAATGTAAATATTTAGTCATCCTTTTTCTTTCATGGACTAAGAAATAAAGGAACTGAAAAGTGAACTTCGTTGTTTTATTGCATTGTTTGTACTTCACCACAGCTGCTGTTGATTTTCTAAAATGTGATTAACATTGCCGACACAATGCTGATTGAATGCATCACAACATAATCCAGTAAAACTGAGTCAAACAGAAATTTCTGCAAAATAAATCAGACCATGTTGTGCACATTACTTCTACAAACGTGTATATTTTAAGAGCATCTGAACGTGCTTTTGATGAAGGAGTTACTGTGACACAAGCTCTCTAAAATGACAGCCCCCCATTCTTTTCTGTTTGGGTATTAGTGCAATTAAGCGAGTTTCAACACGTCCTTCACCATCTCTCCAATCCCATCAAATATCTCATGTATGGGAGCGTTGCACATGAATGCAGACGTGGTGACCAGCTTGTTCTTCTCGTCCACGTGGCTCTCGCCGACGCCCTTACTCACGTGCTTGCAGCCCAGCTGGTTGATGGCCGCTGCAGTGTCGGTAGTGTCAGGATACCTGAGAGGGAGAGAGAAGAAAAAGAAGCATTGCACAATATTTAACTGCTTTAAAGGATTCAGAGGTTTATATGTCACACACACAAACAATATGTGTAGTAAAAAGACGTGTCATGCTCTTTAGAAAAGACAAGTGTCACAATTCTAGGTCTTACTATACTGTAAAATCAAATACTCTCAAATTCCAGGCTACAAGTTTAATTAATTTATTTGAACATACCTAGAAAGAAAACACAGGGAAAAATAAATTAAAGGTTTAATCATTGTGCAGGGGAGGTCAGAAGACAAAAATGGCGTATGAAGATACCTCCCCCTGTTCAAATCTACAATCCTATATAAAAAGAATAAGATAAAAACAAAGATTGCATAATTGAACAAGAGTTCCAGACTAAGCAGTAATACAAAAATGTTAGAATATTTACAAGCTAAAATGCATTAAATATAGGAGCCATCCATGGAGTGAAATGTGTGTAGGTTGCTAATTTGTCCAGTAGGGGTCACTGTACTGTCATTGGTGTCTGCTAATAGAGGTAGGAACCATTCACTGAGGGACAGGTGTTGCTAGACTGGGGAAAACATCAAGTCAAGTGTACACTGCTCAATGTAATGGTGAAAGTTTGTACCTTTGGTTAGTGTTTCAATTAGGAAGTATCCTGTCAGTTCAGCCCCTCAGTGGCTTTAAGTTTAGGCTTAGTCGCTGTACAAATGATTCAACAAAGTGTTAAGAGTACTTTCACATTAGAGTCCTTTTCAGATGTTTTTTAAATAATAATGTAAGTGTTGATTGTAGAGATGGAAGTAGTTTGCTCCAAAGAGATGATCCTTTGTATTTCAATAAATATTGATTAATGAAAGTCCACGGAAGATAAAAGTCCGTAAGAGTGCTTTGTGGAATTTTTTTTTTTTTTTTTAATTTTATATACTTTATTAATCCCCGAGGGGAAATTCAATTTTTCACTCTGTTGTCAATTACACACAGGTCTGAACACACACATGCACAAACTGGACCTATACATGCACAAAGTGGAGAGATGTCAGAGTGGGCTGCCCAAGACAGGCGCTCTGAGCGGTTGGGGGGTTCAGTGCCTTGCTCAGGGGCACCTCGGCAGTGCCCAGGAGGTGAACTGGCACCTCTCCAGCTACCAGTCCACGCCTCATATTTCTGGTCCGGACGGGGACTTGAACGGACCTTGACTGTAATACTGTATATATTGTGTTCTTTAATACACACATTACTTGACTTTGTCAAATTCTGCTGCCTACATTACCCACAATGCATCTAGTCAGTCTTATAGTAGTATCATCCTCAAGTTTCTAGCCTGAAGCAGAGATGAGGAGCAGGCTACACAGGTTTTGTAAGCTGATTTCTTTTTAACTCCACACCCATTAATTCATTTTCAAACTTGACGGCAATTTGTCAGACTTCACACAGCTCTCTCTGGAGCCACAAAAGATTTTATACAACTGCTTTCACATATGCAGCTGTACTCCTCAACACAAACTTTGATGTGTAAAATCAGTGGAGTTCCCCTTTACTACATATCTGGGGTGCTCAGGCAAGTTAGACTCACTTCTCATCCTTCTCGATACCGACAGTGACCTCACAGCCGGGAAACACCTTGGCAGCCAGGACAGGTGAGATGCAGCAGAGGCCGATGGGTTTCCCCTCGCCATGAAACGCCTGCAGCGTGGCCTTGACCTCGTCATTAACAGAGCAGTCCTTCCCCTGCACTGCCCATGTGCAGAGGTTCTTCGCTGCCCCAAAACCACCTACGAGACAATGCAAAATTTCGGTTACTCAGGTTATTCAGTCACTCATTGGTAGACAAATGAGAGATGCTTTTAGTCATGAATAATTACTGTTAAAAATGGCCACCAACTTTAGTCTCATGGGGTTTTTAATCAGGATGTACACGATCTTTTATCAAATTGAGTGCCTCGAGAACACAACAGGATGAGATCCTGGTGGTAAGGGAGCAGGCTATCATGTTGTAGTAGAACAAACCTGGGAATATAATGGCATCGTGGTCTTTGACACTGAGCTTAGACAGGTCCTGGATGTTTCCACGGGCCAGCCTTGCACTCTCCACCAACACGTTTCTCTTCTCCTCAGACGGTTGGCCTTTCAGGTGATTCACCACGTGCATCTGGTCGATGTTGGGGGCAAACATGTTGACCTGCAGTGAAAAAGCAAAGGCGAAGACTGGTTACAGTTTTTTTTAATTAGCAATTAATTGAAAGAAATGTCCATCACAATAACTACATGAAATCCAACATGATGTTTGCTACTTGTTTGTTTGGTCAGACCAACATTTTCTAATCTAAAAGATATTCAATTTACTATTACCTAAAAGTGAAACAAGGAGGATAGTAAAAAGACTGAAACTTTGGCTGACGCCCACTTTATTTTTTTGTCTAACTTGGACTGCTGAAGCCTCATAATGGCTTTTGTTTTCCCATCAATGCTGCTTGTCCAACCCAGTGGAGTCCTCAGCACCAAACATAACTGTATTTCCATTTGCTGCAATAAATGATTAAATCTATGACAAGTGTTCCTGGCCGAAACTGCTTTATTCAGTGATTTTACCAGTTTAATTCACCTGGTCCGTTTGTTTAGAGAGGAAGGGACCTCTGTGGATGATTTGGCTCCTGGTACAAACCTCCTGAACAATGAACACTGAAGGAATTCTAACCAGGAGAAGTTTCAGCTGGTTGCAATCTGCAATCCTCACTGCTAGATGCCCCTAAACCCCCCTTTTAAAAAAGTTATACACAATTTGTGTAACTTCGGCGACCAGAGTCAGAGTGCATCAACAATGTGAATCACAGTCTGGGCTACATGACCTGACCCCAAACCCTGCAGCATGTGTATTAACTTTATGTAGTCACAAACAATAAAAATAATGAAAGAGCAAACATGTTGCACTCTATCAGGCCACACAGGAAGCTCCTGATAACAAAGTGATGTATATAAATGTGCATATATCTCAAATAAAACACACAGCACAGTCAATGCAATACTTGCAGATCAAACCAGTCTCAACGAACTTACACTTGCACCTCCTCTGCTCAGGTGGACCAGAACAGCGGAGGCCTCGTGGATCTCACTGCCATCATAAACCCCGCAGCCCGCCAGCACCACGGCCACGCGCTTACCCATCTGTGTCGTGTAGTAACTTTTATTGACTGTCTGGACGGTCCTGGATGTCAGCAAGTTACGACCACAGTGGTGCAGCAGGGTGAGCATGGCGGACTGTCAGCGGAAAGGTCGCCCCCTTCTTCTACGTCTTCCTCCTCTGCGCTAACAAGCTAACGGTTGGTCGGCGCCATCTTGTGTCTGAACCTGAGCACTGCTGCAACAAGTGGAACACTGAAAGGGCTCTCAACGTCTGTTTTGTTCGTATTAACAAGTCAAAATTGTTCTTCTTAACTATAGACGGTAGAAATAAAGATAAAAAAATATATAAAAATAAAGTAAAAATGTCTTCGCAAGTAAAAATATAACGCGTTAAGACGACGGAACACACCCTGTTAACAAGTACATTTCTAATGTCTTTTAACGTTTTATATTGGGTGCAACCATTTCACCAGTTTCGGAGGGGGAGCTGATTAATAGTATTCGGTTTACATTGTATTCACATAAGAGTCCACTAGATGGCAGAATTAAATTAAAGTACATAGGGCATAATGTTTACTCATCTATTCTGAATATGTGTTAGTGATTTGTCTTAATTCTCTCATGTTTTTTTTCTACTACTTTACTTATTAATTACTGATATCACTTGGTAGATCCGAGATTTAATAAGTCAGCAGTGGATGAGACAGAGCATATTTAAATATTGCTTTCTTTTCTTCTCTAATTTATTCTCATTTATTATATATATTATTTATTATTACTATTATTATTATTATTATTATCAATATTATTTTATATCTAGTAATTGATTCAATAAAATCTTAAGTTAATCCTAGGGTATTGGTCCCAAAAGTGACACAACGATTGTATATTTATTCATTTCTGAACTTATTTCCACATTTTATTTTATGCATTTTTTTGTACTAATTTATTTCCACATGTATTAATATTTATATATTTATTCATTTATTTATGTGTTTATTGATATTTTAAAACTTTTTCTTGCATTTAATGATTTCTTTTCATATTTGATTTTGTATTAATTTATTTACATGTGTATTAATATTTATGTTTTTTAAACTTATTTCTGTATTTATTTATTTATTTATTTTATAATTCTTTTTGTATTAATTTATTTCCACGTGTGTTAATATTTATTTATATTTTAAAACTTTTTCCTGAATTTATTGATTTCTTTTTATATTTAATTTTGTATTACTTTATTTCCGCGTGTATTCATATTTATTTATTTATATTTTTAAACTTATTTCTGCATGTTTGTACAACCTTACCAATGAAGCAACTTTCACGTGGGTAACTTCCGTCATGTGATTTTTTTTTCCAAATCAACAAAACCACGTGACCAGTAATGAGGAAGTCCGTGCAGAGGGATCGTGGGAGCGCTTTCTGGCTGAGACGCTAACTTCTTCTTTCCTCTGTCAGTTTTTGGGGCTCTAACATGACTCACTCGGAGGCTGCTGTGTGTTTAAACCTGCTGCTGCTGTTTCTACGTGTTCTTGCTGAGTTCAGTCATAATGGACAGCAGCAGTGGCCCGTTCCCTACAGGTAGGAAGACATAAACCTTTACATGCTGTTTCTGCTCTGTTGCGATAGATTCAGCTAGAAAATAATAACGTATCTGTTTGGTGAAAGTTTAAACGTTAAAGTTTCTGACCTAACTTTTGATTGACTAAGTGTTCGGATAAGATTATTGTTCATTATTCGGTGTAAATGGACTTTTAGCTGATCTGAGGTCCAAGTTATGTGTGGTGCGTTCACATGACTTTGGGAACTCTGGACTCTGGAGCATCTCAGCAGCACATGATAAATCTAATTTGAGTGACGTGTGAGACAACAAGTTTTGAACAATGGCTGTTTTGAATTTGATCAGTGGGGGAAAAATAGGTACAATTACTCAAATACTTAAGTTTAATTGTTAAATACTTGACACTATTTTACTTGAGTATTTCCATTTTATGGTACTTTATACTGTGCTGTTACAACACTACATGTCAGACACATATATACCTTTATTTACTTGCTGCTTTCTAGATTAATTGTTACATCAATAAGACATGATTGATACCTAGGGGAAAATTCTCAAACTATCCAGCAGTATTTTAAGTTAATATATAAAATATGAATAAATTAAAAGTATCCCCACATTCACAGTCTGCAATATTAAAGTGATGCACACACATTAATGCTTCAGTAATCTTCATCCACAGACGGTTTGATCGTCGCCCTGATGTGGACTCTTACTGTGAAGCCCTCTACCCGTTCTGTCCCACTGGAGACAGAGATGGACGGATCCCCTTGATGAGAGACAGCGATGTCATCTCAGTTTATCGACTGCAAACACCCGTGTGGGAATTCAAGTATGGAGATCTGCTGGGGAAAATTGTAAGTACGTTTAATCCTCTTGTTATCAGCTGATATTTCACCATGTTGAGGTCACTTTCTGTAGAAACGCATCAAAAAACCTGGTGATGCTGCTGAAGATACATCATCTTTATGTGCTGTAGTTTAATTTTGGTCTTATTGGACTAAAATCAGAATAAAGTCTGAAAGAATATGCTGTCTGCATGTTGTAGTCCTGAATAAAATCACAAAAAGAATTAGTGTCATACTGGAATTTCTAACTTGGATACAGTTCGGATTGCAGTGGTATACCTCTTTCAAGGTATACTGTGATATTAATGTTGATGGTCATCATACTGTGTATATTATTTTCTAAGGGGAGACTTTTTCTACATGGACATCCATTAAAAAATGGTTTCAAGTTTCAAATATAGTAATTTAACATTTGTTCAACCAGCAATAACCTTTCCATTTCCATTACTTCCATTCTGACTGATAATGATAATAATTCTGTGATACTGTGATATCCTCTGAGATGGTTATCGTGCTGTGAAAATCTCATACCGTTGCAACCCTAGATACAATAAGTTTAGAGAAGCACATATGTCCAGACAATAAAAAATAAATTAATAATAATAATAATAATAATTAATAATTTTTAAAAACTACTGGACAAGAGATCATCCAAGAGAGGAAAAAAATAGAGTCCACACACCAGACTATGCTCCTGTAAGTATTTCATTTAATTTAATTACTGCAGACTTTAATACAATACCCTGGAAAAATATCAATACCATTTTGATACCATGGAGAACATTGATATTGAAGGCATAACATTTAAAAAAGGTATTAAAAGATAAAAATAACAAGGCTATAACATAAGGACAGTAACTTTGATTTTCTTGGTTAGTAGCAGAGAACAGCAGAATGAATGTGAAAGTGCAGCTGGCACAGGTGTGTTGATACTGCAGAAAATCAGTATTGGAACTGTGTGAAATATTCAGAATTATGTATATTGATAAATGAATATTTTTGACAACACTAAAAATAATTTGTCTTTTTTGCTGAAAGCAGAAATTAGTTGGAACTGTTATTTTTCTTTTTGTATTATCATTATTATTATTATTATTATTATTAATATTATTAATAAACTTGAAAATCGTAGTTTTCAAGTTGAAATAAGAAATGTGTCACTGTGTAAGGATTTTGTTTTAAATGTAGCTTTTTTTTATTACGTAAAGTAATTCATCCTGTGTTCACTATTGATTAATGTAAGTATTAAAATTAATTAAAATTAATAAAAATAAATTAAAAAAATGAATAATAAACAAAATAACAATAATAAATAAAATTAATTAATATAAGTATTGAAATACAGCTTTTGAGCTTTTGTCAGTGAAAAATATTGGTAAAATATTACCAAATTACCAAAAACATAGCAGAGCTGTTAAAATGGAAGTGCAACTTGTGACTTTATTCATAGAAACACAGCTACTCACTCTCTCCAGATGTCTGTACACACACACACACACACACACACACCACACACACACAGCTAATGTAATGTTTCTGCTCACGGTTCACAGCACATCATGCACGATGCCATCGGGTTCAGCAGCTCAGGAACTGGGGCCAACTTCACTGTGGAGTGGTACGAGTTGTTTCAGCTGGGGAACTGCACCTTCCCTCACCTTAGACCTGACATGTACGCACCTTTCTGGTGCAACCAGGGAGCTGCCTGCTTCTTTGAAGGCATCGATGACTTACACTGGTCCCAAAATGGCACCTTGGAGAAAATAGGAGAACTCACAGGTGAGACTTCATCTTGTGTCTTTGCTCATAGAGGCCAAAATAAAAGTGAGAGTGGACACCTGCGGCCAATTTAGAGTCACCAGTTAATCAGCATGGCTTTGGACTGTGGGGAAAACTGGAACCAAAGCTTGGACTCTCTGCTCGACACCTCTCTGGAATTAAAATACTTTAATATGTCTTTGTCCAGGAAACCAGTTCAACGACGTGGCCCAGTGGATCCAGGACGACAACGAGACCGGGATCTACTATGAGACGTGGACTGTGCTCTCCGACCCCGGCCCCAACGCCACAGTGTGGTTCGAGTCTTACGACTGCTCCCAGTTCGTCCACCGCACATTCAGGAAGCTGACCGAGCTGGGAGCCAAGCTGTCTAGCAGGTCACAAACCAACTACACCAAGCTTTACCTGTACAGCGGAGAGCCCACCTACCTCGGTAACGACAGCGCCATCTTCGGACAGCCCGCCCTGAAGAATCTGGCCGTGGACATCCGTAAATTTTACCACACGTTCAGACCGCACCAGTCGTTCACAGAGGCGGTCATCAGTCTGCTGGAGGCGTATGAGAAGGTGGTGTTGGACAAGAGCTTCTACCTCTACTACAACTTTGAGTACTGGCATCTGCCCATGAAGCCTCCATATGTGCGCGTTACATATGAAGAGGTGCCTTTACCATAACATAAATAATTAATAATGTTTTTGTTTATTAAGCCAAAACCAAAGATTTTAACAACAAGAAGCAAAGACAAACATCAGAAGTGCACATTTCAGAATTTAAAACAGTGACTGAGAAGTTATTTTTGCTTCATGAATGACCTTAACAAATTATTAATCCAGCTTTTTTCAACCATTTAATGCGCATAAAACATTTTTTATTTTAAATTGTGCTGTTTACATCCATTTGTCAGCTTGCAGTCCTCCTCTTCCCTCCCTCTGTTGGTGCACTGCTGCATTTGAAAGTCAAATCTTGAGCCAACATGTACGAGAAGTCCACTATATGGACCCTGTGGTGAGATTATTTCTATTTATTGAACAAAATAGTGCTTGACAAATTTTCAGTCAATGCTATAACTAATTAATTGACTACTCTTTTTCTCTGTAAGGAATTTGATCAGTCTGTATCGACATAGCGGGAAATGTGTGCAAAGTTTATTCTCTACAGAGGTTTTCACTGGAGTTGGATTGCTAGGCAACAGCTTGAATCCATGTTTACTTCCTGTCAGATGATGTCATTCACAAACACAGCAAAACATTCCCACAGGAAATACAAAGAGACCCATTTACCAGGTTTACGATGTCAAGTTTGGCAGGGTCTATGTGCATGAGATGGGATGAGATGTGTTGTAAGTTTTTCTGTACCAGTTGAAGAGGTCAGATGTTTTCCCAGCTTGTGCAGGTACTTTAATACTGTAAACTACTCAGGTGCTGGAAGAAAAGGGATTCTTTTAACACAAAAGAGAAAAGAAAATACTTACTTTATGAATTTTTCCATCTATAGAAACAAACTACTCACAGTTTACAGTAGTGAAATAATTATTCCCTCCATCATGACAACTAAAGGACAGAAAACTACATCAGAAGTTTTTCTGGATCTGTCTTGAGTATTATGAATATCGTAACTATCCCATGTCATACTCTTAAACTATTGCAAGTTGGGCACTTCCCAGGAGAGGTTCTGAGATGTTTGATAAATACAAACACAAAGTATTGCAAATGCACAGGAAGTGACGCTCATCAATGTGACTCCAACAAGGACTGTATGTTCTGCATTTCTAATAGTGGTGTTTTCAGATTTGTTTTTACGCTTTAACTTCAAATGTAAGCACTAAAGATACTTTTTGATTAGGATTTTGCACTGATGTGTCACATTAATATAGTGTCACTTAATCAGCTCATCAGGTGTGGCCTTAATGTTTAACATTCAGATTTGTTCAGGTTAATTGTATGTATAGATTTTTTTTCCCACTGTTAAATATGTCAACTTGGTTTTCAATTTTTTTTAATTGCATAATATTTCACAGAGCCTACTTGTGCATGTTATTTAATAACTGTAATGTCTGGAGTGTTTAGAAAACAATAAAATGACATGCAAAGTTTACATTCACAAATTTTTATTAACCAGTATAAGATCACATGTCCAAAACAATAAATTTAATTTCAAGACAGGTGACCAGTTAAGCAAAGTAGACAAAGCATTTGTCATACAGAAGCAAAACTAAAAGGACAGCGTTGTCAACACCAGTTTACTCCTAATGAAACTTCACTGGAGGACTCTCTGTAAAAATCAGGTTCAAGTGACAGTCGCTGACGACACACCTCATTAAGATGCCTCTTATCTGTGTTTAACTGAATTCTCCCAATAAAAGCCAATAACAGGAAAATGCTTAAACCAGTACAGTACTGAGACACAACCTTCACTTTAGAGCTGCTGTCACTGCAACCGTTAAACACACTGCACAAATTCTGAGAGATAAATCAGGAGATATGTTACTGTACCATTGAGATGCTAATGCACGAGAGCACAGACGATCAGCACAGGTATCTAACGTCGGTGATAAAGACACCGATTACTAATCAATAGACTGTTAGGTCAGTCCAATCAAACTAGAGTTTGCACTTCCTGCAGCGTGTCTCAGTTTTAATCTACGTTACTGTTTGGTTACATGACGTGTAGTACGACAAGGATCGAAGGAATGAAGTCTGGTAGAAAACGAAAATCTACAGATGCCGTTGACATGCGGTGTGGTCCAAAAGTTTGTCCACTACTGATAACTTAACTTTTTTATGAAAATACATATGATATCAAATTATCTATCTTCTGATGACATGTATTAATGACATTTTTTAATAGTTTGATTGTGATTTTTACTAATAATTTCGTATTATTTGATTGACTTTCTATCCCTTTCTGCACGTTTTTCTAGTCTTTTATTTTGGCGGGTTTTTCTTTAAGCCTGAGAAAAGTTTCATCCGATGTTAAATTAACTTTCACATGAATTTGATCAGATAGAATCAGATCTGGTGACTGTGAAGAGAAAGCCATAGAGGTCAGCACTATTTCTCTTCCTGAAATTCAACAGCTGTAGACCTACTTTGGTTTTTTTGTGCCATTTGAGAGCGCAGGGTTTGATTTATTAACATGAGTGTAACCTTTAAGCAGTGTTGGAGAGATTACTAGTATTACCTTTTCCTTTCAACACATTACTACTAAAATGTCAGTAATATTACTACAGTTACCCCCAAAATAAACTTATAACAGCCTTACTTTTGTTGTCACCCCCTACTGATTTGAAACTCAACCAATTACATCGCTGACTTCATTTTCAAAATCATCGCACATGCACGTCACCAAGCAGCAAGCATGTCTGAAAGATGAAAACATTTACATTCAGGAGCTGAAAATATTGCCATTACTTATATTTTGTCAGGAGAAAAGATGACAAGAACGTCATCGTTCCAGTTAGTCGTACTAAGACTATTTCCACAGTGAAAAACACAACCTCAAACCTCCTGAAACACCTACTGTGACCGACAGTGCAATCACATAAAGCTTGCAGAAATACACCCTCCTTGTAGGATGGCTGTAGCTCTACCCTGGCTGAACACCCAGAACAGGATTTTAATCTTGGACAGCTGCAGGCTAACAGGGTTTCACACATATTTTTACCAATGAATTTTCCAAACTTTTCCACAATTTTTCCATAATAATGTATTCTGTTTGCATTACTTTTTAAGTAGTTTAAAACAGGTTGGCAGACCTTTGTGCCGCCTTTTGGTTGTCTTAATGTTTTTCCTTTTAGCATGGCTGACCACAGCTCCTCCCCCACGTTGGAAACGTCAAACGTTTTGGTGCAGCTAGGGTCTGCCTCTCTCTTGAGCCATGTTTTATATTTGTCATTTGAAAGCCATAAATTATTAAATTCAGTCTTCCCAGGCATTTGCAGATAAGATAACACTAGCACTTGCTAACTTTACTTGCTCATTAGACATTCCCACCACCAACTGGCTGCATATGCTGATGTGTATCATGTGACACTACTGACATTTCAACTGTCACACAGCGCAGCATGAGATTTTCAATTAGTGATACTAGAAACTTATTTTAAATTAAAAAAAAAAAGGTTTTGGGATTTTCATTGACATATTTTAAACAAAAGCCAAAACAATTTATGTTCAAACAATCAGTTAATTCCAAACCATTTCCAGACCAGAAAAACAGTTTTTCTATTTTCATAACTCTCCCAGGATGTACCTGACAGTGGGAAAGCTTTTGGCCAAAATGTGGTGGATAAAAAGTTGCCTATCTCCATGACTGACTATTTTTCAAACAGCTCCTTGCTAAAATACTGGTCACAAGCAACAGAGCCCTGATAAAAAATAATTTACAAGCTGTCCAGCCTCAGCTGCGCTTACCAGAAATCATCCTGACATTTACACAGAGGTATGCAAGTCTGAAATTACAGAAGTAAGGATGCAATTAACAGTTTTTGGGGGCGTAGCGAAAAAGTAATATACCAAGTAGTGTAACTAATTAATTTTATGAGGGAATAATGAGTAATATTACTTAGAAGTAATACATGTTTAAAGTAATGACTCTGTTGTTTTGGATTAAAATTAGTTGTTAAAATCTCTCATTTGTTGATGCATGATTAAAAGTTCATGACAGTGGACTCTAAACTTGTGGACCACCCACATGCAACAAAATCGTAGTGACAGAGGTGAAACTGTCAAATCCAGAAAATCTACTCGCGCTGCTGGTCTTATCTGCTTGCTGGTTATTATCATGATTGCTTCTTTTGAATAACTGAAAAACACAAATTAATTACAAAAGCAGTATCCATATCAATAAATTACATAGCTCATCTTCTCTAGTGACTACAGTATGAAAAAGATCCATCTAGTAAAGGATAACTCGCACTCTGGTTTTATAAAAGACACAAGCCGCCGGTTAAGGAAACTTCAAACCCTGACAGAGGGCGAAATAAAGAAATAAGTGCATTTCTATTCAGAATAATCAAACACACAGCATTTTATATACAGAATCCTTTTGACTTCCTTCTTAAAGGAAAAAAACTTTTGTTTCACTCATCTGACTTGCCAAATCTCTTAAGACTAAAATGAATGGATGTTTTTTGGACAGGGGCGATGTCTGCAAAGATAGTGTTGGTAATAACAACATGAATACCGCATCCTCTCCTGTATGTACGATGTGGTTGCACGATACAGAGCAGAACGTGGGCTAACAGGAGGGCAGGTATTCACAACATAGAGCCAGGGTCTAGAGCTTGAACAGGCAAATAGCAGAAGATACAAATGAAACCTCTTAATAGGGAAATAAACTCATTTAATGCACCTGGGACACACAGAGGGTTCAGACCTGATCAGACAGAGGGCGCATTTTGTAGCTTGCTGCGTCTTTTTTATTATTGTTGCAACCACCAACTGCTAATTTGTTGTGAAGCTAACTCACAGATCTGTATCTTAAAATCTGCATAAAAAATGGACAGGCAGAGGGCATTTGGGAACTGGACACAGGTCAACGGAGACCTGTGTGGGTACATGAGACCCTCAGGAGGGACCAGCAGCTGGTCCAGGAGCTTCACCTGGATGATGGTTGGTTCAGGGTTTATTTGTGGACACTTTGACAACCTGCTGTGAAGCGTCGGGCCTAACTACAGCTGAGAAAACATTATAAAAGTAGTTGAGGCTACAAATTGTTCAGATCAAGATGTGTCTTGCAGCTTGACTAATAGGGCGATGATGAAAGTGAGCATTAGCTTAAGAGGATGGTCACACGTGAGTGAAATTATCATTGGCAAATATTTGCCGCCCGTTCACTTCCCTTCAATGCGAGCAAAGGGGGCAAATACAACATTTGCTTCCGGCCAAAGCAAATTCGCATCTGCACATCACATGGAGTTCAAATTTAGTAAAGTCACAGCCTCAACCCATGGCAAAGAAGCATGTGTGGAGCAGTCACTGATTGTTCCTGTACCCAGTGGGCTGATGCTGTATGATATTGGCTATGAAAAACTCAAACAGCATGGGAGATGCGTCAGGAGACAGGCATGGAACCTAACAACACTGAAAATATCAGATTTTGCTATAGTCATTTTAGCAAGCTAGCTAACATTAGCGAGCAAGCTAGCTTTCCATGTGCATCAAATTGGCGCTGCCCACATTCAGCACAAATATCGCCTGCAGGTGCTAAAGTATGACCATGCACCAACACTTTACGCTCCCACAGAAGGCCTGCCTCTCAGTTCATTTGATTGGACAACAGGAAAAGCTTTTCTGCTCAGAGTTTCTATTTTTTCATCTAAAAGGCATTCAGGGTGCACCTACAAAAATGTGAGGCACTCAGCAAAGCAAAATCAGCGAGCGATACGGTTCGCACTGATTGAAAACAATGACAAAAAGTTGCGTCAGGCTGGAAAAACACGCTCTGTCTGATCATTCCCAGGGTGCATTGTAAGCAAATAGCTACAGAGACAAGTCTACTGAATTATTGCAAAGCAATCTCTACCTCCAAATTCAGACTATCTGTGCACTATCTATATTTACATAAAAAAAAATTATATCTATTTTTTATATGAGTAATTATAGCTCTATTACTTCAATAAACTGTCCACAGTATCTGATTCAACAGAACCTCAGTACAGTGTGAGTAATCATCATTGAAAACTGGGTCCAACCGCTAAATTTAAGCATTATAAAGATTATTTTCGTTCGGTCAAGAGGACTTGTTTTGTCCCGCTTATCATTTGGTATTTATTTAAGGTGCTTAAGATAATCTACTGTACAGAACCCTTCTTTGAAACTAAACTGAGTAATTCATTTGTCCAGCCAATCGATGTGCTATGCATGAAAGAACAAAAAAATCCCAACCCATGACATCAACACTGTACACCTTCACGTCACAAAGATAGAGACCTATATACACATTTTACTGTCTCTCCCGGCCAACTTCCAACATTTTTAACAATCATGTCTTCTATTTTGATGCATGACTGAGCTCGGGCGAGGAGGAAAAGCAAGATGTCGTCAACACCACTGCCGCTGTCTATGACTGAATTAAAATGGCGGTGTCGGACCCAG